AAAATCTGAAGGAGTCAGGCGAAACTTGATCTCGATTGAAAAAAAATTAGGCGGGGAATGATATTATGGTAGAATTCTGGTGAGGTCCACCACAAAAGGAAACGTACTGACATTCTCTACAACAACGAATCCGAGTGAAACCCCCTACGTAAAAAATTCCATTGCAGTCCCCTACAAAAGGGATCCCATTGACATCCTCCACAACGAGAATTTTATTCCATTGTTCTACAACAGGAACTCATATCACAATCGCGAACAAAAGGAAGCCGATCGAAATCCGATCCAACATGAGACGTGTTGGAGTTCTTTTCAGAAAGAGTCCTCGCGAAACCTTTCACAACATCGAACTCTTGTGACATCGTCTACATCATAAATTTTGTTGAACTCATCTACGCATGGAATCCTATTCACATCCTCGTAAAACAACAAGAGTTCTCTTGAGCTCCTCAACAGCAGGAATCCTAGTGAAATCTTCCACACAAGGAGGCGTCTTGAAATCGCTTACAACCGGAATCATACCGAAACCCTTTTTTACAAACATGAATTTGATTGGGAACCCCTGCGCAGGGACTTCCATTGGAACCTTTTACACAAGGCATACTAGTGATGTCCTCTGCAGCAAGGAATTGTATTGAAACCCTCTGCAAAAGGCGTTGTACTGAAACCTCTTACAACGGATAATTCCGCGGTGTTTCACCGCGAAAGGTTTTTGATGCAAACACCCTGTACTGATTTATTTAAGGAATAGGTTTCCGACCCCCCCACAACAATATTACGCCTCTGCCGCCGCCGAAGCCCTTCTCTGGCCACGGGTCTGGTGGAGGTGGATGTGGTGGTGGATTCGGCCCTTCCTACCACCACCAATCACTTCTACGAGTGCTTCTGCTCATGCTGCAGCAGATGCCACCACGTCTCCACTAACACCAGCGCTACCCCACAACAAAGACTAAACCGCCACCACCGCCACAACCCATTCTGGGCCATGATGATGGGGGTGGTGGTGATTATGGCTGCGTTGGTGGAGGCGCCCCCAATGCCACCACCACCAACACTTCCACATTCTACGAACTGATACATGTACGACTGCCGAACACCACCACGTACTCCCACAACTGTTGTTAGCAACCATGCTACACCACTGTCGCTAGAACCGTTACTCTGCCACCAGCGGTACTCTACCGCCACCGCCGCTACCCGTTCTGGGTCAGGAGTGGAGATGGTGGCGGTTTTGCAAACCCTTCGGACTTCCAACACCACAAGCACCCACGTCTGTCGACACGTTGGGGCGGATGCAGCCACCGCCAGCACAATTGCCTATGCCGCCGCACATCCGACCCCACCACCATCACCAATATTCTTTCTGAGTAAAGGGGGTGGTGGTGGTGGTGGTGGTTGCGGTGGTGGGTGCGGTCCCCTCCCACTACCACCAGCACCTCCATCGAGGGAAGTGGATGGCCAGCAGAAAGAGAGAGATAGGAGGATGACGGTAAAGCCGTGCAGTTGCGCAAGTTTCTATTGCTGCAGTTACCGCCACAATTGCATCAACCACGGCCGCCACCCTGCCCAATCGCCAGTGCCACTGCCCTTTCTTGGCCAAGGATGGCGGCCGCAGCAGTGAATGCGATGGTGGATGCGACGCCAACCTACCAACGCCAGCACTCAAGTTCACGAGTGCCTTTTCTGACGGTGCAGCTGCCAGCCGCCACCATCGCTTCCATCACCGCAACCACTTCGCCATCATCGCTGCTTCGCTGCCACCACTTCCACCCGTTCTGGGTAAGGACGTGGTGGCGGTGGTGAGGGTAATGGTTGTGGTGGTGGCGGTGCCGCCATTGCCACCACCATTACCAAGTTGTACTAGTACGTGTGCGGCTGGTTCCACTACCGCTGCCACCGCCATCACCTACATCACACCACCGAACTTTGTGCACATGGGGGATGGCAGCAGTTGTGGTTGTGGTGTGGTAGAGGCGTCTCTTCTCCACTCGCCACCATCACGCCACCAATGCCTGCGAATGCGTCCACTGCTGTTGTTTGTACCGCCACCACCACATCCGCCACCACCAGTGCTCCCCCCTCCCCCCTCTATCCCGCGGCCAACACACTGCCTTTGGCAGGCGATGGTCGCGGTGGCGCTGGAGGCGATCCCCAACTACCACTACCGCCGCATCCGCCAACACCCGTTAATTCTTCCACGGCTGTTTCTACCACCATTTTATATACTACTCCACCGACTGCCCCGCACCCTTTCAAGGTCATCGGGAGACGCGCAATTGACTGCGACGAGTGTGACTGCGACCCCATCAACAAATTGTGGATAATCCTTTTATTGCTGCTATCACCACCACCACATCCACCATCACCACCACCGCCAATACCATTCCATCGCCACTGGGTAATGGGCGTGGCGGGGATGGTGGGGCCTCCGCTTCTACCACTGGAACCGCCACATTCAACACGCCATCTCATATGGTTAAACCGTAATTCTTAAAGCCAGAATCGAAACCACGAAGCAAATCTTAAATCAAGTCCACAAAACAAACCACAGCGGTATGTACAAGTGTATTTATTGCCCACCATGGGGGGCGGGGGGGGGCGGGCTCGGGGACCTCGTGGGCCGTCTTGGAACGACGGGTCGCCGAAACAACATGACAAGGCAACAAGGAACATCAATGATATGGGGGGAGGGGTAAAAAGAAAGAGAGAGGGAGAGATATCGTAAGGATGAGGAGGACGATGACGCCGAGGAGGGTCGGGGGGGGAAGGACGAGGAAACGCATGGGGAGAAGGGATGGGGAAAAGGAGGAGGAGGAGGCTGAGGAAGAGGAGGATGGGAATGCATCTGGTGATGCAGGGAACACGGAAGAGGAGGGAGAAGATGGGGGAGGATGGCTGGAGGGGGAGGAGGGGGAGAGTGCCGAAGAAGCGGATGAGGAGGAGGAAGGGGAAAGGATGAGAAGGAGGAGCCTCTGTAGCGGCAAGACGAGGAAGAGGAGGACGGTGAATCGGACGAGGAGCAGCAGCGGGAAGAGCAGGATGGAGAGATGGAGAAGGAAACGGGTGGCGAGGAGGGGGGGGCGAGGAGGCCACCCCTTCCCCGTCAGTAGCATGCGTGTGCTCACGCTTGCGATTATGCATGTATGTGTGGACGACTATGTGGAGCCGCATTATATACAGATTCCCCGATGCTAAAAGGTCAGGCATTGCTTGGTCATCTGAATTGTCATCTTGATACGGCGTTTGCGGCCACGGGGACTCCCAGAACACCCCGGCCTCCAAATTCGCGGGGGTGGAAGCGCTGGCCGTCGGTGGTGGCGCTGGCGCTGAGAGCAGCGGTGGTTGTCGTGGTCGGCGCCGGCGGTGGGTCGGTGGTGCTGCGTGTGGTGGTCGTGGTGGTCGTGGTGCTCCCGCCGCCCGTCTCCCCCATTCCCCTCCCTCCTCCCTCCTCCCCTCTCTTCCCCTCCCTCCCCTCCCTCCCCTCCCTCCCTCCCGCATTCCTCCTCCCTCCTCCCTCCCCCTTCCTCCCTCCCCCCATTCCCCTCCCTCCTCCTCCTCCCCCCTCCTCCCTGCTCCCTCCTCCCCTCCCTCCCTTCCTCCCCTCCCTCCCTCCCTCCCTCCCTCCTTCTCCTCCTCCACCTCCTCCTCCTCCTCCTCCCTCCTCCTCCTCTTCCTCTTCCTCGTCATCGTCGGCTCGTTGCTGCCTCGGCCGCTGCCACGGCTGTCACCGTCCTCCGTCGCAGCCATCCAGTCCATCGCGCCGTCTCCTTCTTGTGACCTGGCCCCCGAACGCAGGCCTCGCCACGTCTTGAGTTGTCGTCGTCTGTCATTGTCTTCGTTCGACCTTCGTTGTCGTCTTTCGCCGTCGTTCGTCCGTCGTCGCTTTCGTCGTTTGTCGCTTCCCTCCTCCTGACTTGCTCGCATCGTTTTTCGTCATCGCATCGTCCTCCTTACTCATTTCACTGTCTCTGTTCCTTATCCCCGTGCACCTCCCAGCATGAGGACCTGTAAGCTGAAGAGCTCGACATTTTGAGGTCTGTAGCTTCGAAGCTTCGTGAGTTTTGTGACGCGCCTGGTACCTGGCGTGGCGAGCGAGGGGTGCCTCCTCGAGGTGCATTCAACCCGCATAGTAAAGTTGAGCGATTTTCCAATGTTACCCTTGCATCCCTGGCCCATTCCCACTCGGCCCATCCCACTCGGCCCATCCCACTCGGCCCATCCCTGACCCAATGTTTTCCTTCCCACTCGGCCCATCCCTGGCCGCTTTCACTGGCCGCGCCCCGCTCGCTGGGTGTCGGCAGAGCCTTCCAAGGCCCTTGCATCCTTATCGTGCGTGCTTGTTATACGGGTTGACTCTAGTCTCCAAGTCTCCTGCGCCCTGTTCTTCTTCCACCCCCTCTCTCTCTCCCCCATCCTCCCTTTGGCTCCCATTTTCCCACATTCACCCCTCCTTCCCTCCCTCCTTCCCCCCATTGGCCCCCGTCGTCCTCCCTTCCCCCCCCTGGCTCCCATCTTCCTCTCCCCCCCCTCGCCATCCCGTCCCTCACCCCTGTTGTCCCTCCCCTCCCCCCGCCCCTTCCCTCTTGCCCCTTGCCTGCCCTCTTCCGCCCTCCGCCCTCCCTTCCCGCCTCGCCCCTCCCCCCTGCGTGGCCGCCCTTCCTCCCCTAACAGGGTCGTTTTTTTTCGGCCAGATAGCGCCTCCTGCAAGTGACCCAATTGAGGGAGGTGCCCAGAGGCAATTCTCTACGAGCTGCGAGCAGCCTGTGGGGACCTCCCGCAATTGCACGCTCATTCACGGGAGGTCCCCAGAGGCCGCCAGGACTGCGGTTCTTGGAGCCTCCGGGGACCTCCCGCAATCGAAGCCCCCCAGAGGCCGCCAGGACTGCGGTCCTGGGAGCCCAAATGAGCGTGGAATACTGCGGGAGGTCCCCGCAGGCTGCTCGCAGCTCGTAGAGAACTGCCCCTCCTGGCACCTCCCTCGAACCGGATCACTCGCAGGAGAAATGCCCGGCGGGGCAGCAGGGCCCCTCCCCGGAGGCAGCGCGCGACTGACCGCGGAGCCCGTGCCCGTCGTCCTGCTGAGCGGCTTCCTGGGCACGGGCAAGACCACGCTGCTGAAGCACTGGCTGGAGAACGCCGAGGCGCCCCCTTGTCGACCAAGAAACGGGCGACCCCACCCCGCCTACTATATACAAATCCTCGCTAGAGTACAGCGTGAATTGGTTTGGGAATTATGTATTGTAGCGCGCACTGTGTGCAAGTAAAGTAATCATTGTGACTGACATTAATACTGCAGGCCCAGAATACGAATAATATGATTAAAGCGTGACTTTCGAGAGCATCCAGAGTTGCAGGAGTTGGGGAGGATTTGGGAGCTGGGGAGGAGTCTACACGGAAGAAAAACAGGAGTTGGGGAGGATTTGAGGATTTGGGAGGATTTGGGAGCTGGGGAGGATTCTACGCGAACGAACGGTTGGGGGATATTTGGGAGTTGGGGGGGATTCTACACAGGAAAAACAAGAGTCGGGGAGGAGTTTGGACGCTGGGGGGATTTGACAGATGTGGAGGGTTCTACACAGAAAAAAGCAAGAGCTGGAGAGGATTTGGGAGTTGCGGAGGATTCCACACAGAAAAAAAACATGTGTGGGGGAGGATTTGGGGAGTTGGGGAGGAGCTTACACAGAAAAAGTAGCAGGAGTAACACAAACATGAATAACCAAAAACAGGACTTGAGGAGGATCTGGGAGTTGGGGAGGATTCTAATTTGAAAAAAAACAGGAGTTGGGGAGGATTTGGGAATTCGGGGGGATTCTACAGAGAAAAAAACAGGAGTTGGGGAGGATGTGGGGGGTGGGGGAGGATTCGACACAGAAAAAAAAACAGGAGTTGGGGAGGATTTGGATGTTGGGTTATATTCAACATTGAAAAAAACAGGAGTTGGAGAGGATTTGGGAGTTGGGGAGGACTCTGCAAAGGAAACAGCAGGAGTTGGGGAAGATTTGGTAATTGGGGAGAATTCTCCAGAGGAACAAGCAGGAGTTGGGGAGGGTTTTGGAATCGGAGAGGTTTCTACATAGGAAATAAAAACAGGAGTTGGGGAGGATTGGGGGAATTGAGGGAGACTCTGCATAGGAATATGCAGGAGTTGGGGAGGATTTTGGAACTGGGGAGGATTCTACAAAGGAACAAGCAGGAGTTGGTGAGGATCTGGGAATTGGGGAGGATTCTACACAGGGAAAAGCAGGAGTTGGGGATGATGTGGGAATTGGGGAGGATTCTACTGATAAGAAAGCAGGAGCTGGGGAGGATTTGGGGATTGGGAGGGATTCTACAGACGAAAAAGCAGGAGTTGGGGAGGATTTGGGAGTTGGGAGGATTATACAAAGGAAGAAGCAGGACTTGGAAAGGATCTTGGAATTGAGAGGGATTCTACAAGAGGAAAAAGCATGAGTTGGGGAGGATTGGGGATTTGGGGAGGATTCTACAGAGGAGGGGGAAGAGTTGGGGAGGATTTGGGAGTTGGTGAGGATTCCAAAGAGGAAGCAAGCAGGAGTTGGGGAGGATTTGGGAGTTGGGGAGGATTCTTTAAAAAAGAGAAAGCGGGAATTAGGGAGGAGTTTGGAATTTTGAAAGATTCTGCAGGGGAGAAGCAGGATATGGGGAGGATCTGGGAGTTGGGGAGGATTCTACAGGAAAGCGGGCACGAGTTGGGGAGGATTTGGGTGAGCGGGAATTGGGGAGGGTTCCACAGAGGAAAACACAGGAATTGGGGAGGATTTGCGAGTTGGCAAGAGGGGAAAACAGGAGTTTGGGAGGATGTGAGATTTGGGGAGGATTCTACATAATGAAATGCAGGGGTTGGGGAGGATTTGGGGAATTGAGGATGATTTGGCAGAAGGAAAACGCAAGAGTTCGGGAGGATTTGGGATTGAGGAGGATTCTAAAAGAGGACAAAGCAGGAGTTGGGGAGGATTTGGGAATTGGGGGGATTCTACAGAGAAGAAGACAGGAATTGGGGAGGATTTGGGAGTTTGGGAAGTTTCTCCAAAGGAAACAGAAACAGGAGTTGGGGCGGATCTGGGAATTGAGGGGGGATTCTACAAGAGAAAGAAGCAGGAGTTGGTGAGGATTTGAGAACTGGAGAGGTTTCGACACAAGGAGAAATCAAGGATGAGGATGATTTGGGACGTTGTGAGGTTTCCACAAAAAGGAGTTAGGGAGGACTTGGGAACTGGGTAGGCATATACATAGGAAAAAACAGGAATGAGGAGGAATTAGAAGCAAGAGTTGGCCAGGACTTGGGAATTGGGGAGGATTCTACAGAGGAGAGAGCAGGAGTTGGGGATGATTGAGGGATTGGGGAGGGTTCTACAGAGGAGAAAGCAGGAGTTGGGAAGGATTCGGGACTTGGGGAGGATTCCGCAAACAGGAGAATGCAGGAGCTGGGGAGTATTTGGGAATTGGGGGGTTTCTACGCAGGAAAAACAGGAATTGCAGGGGATTTGGAAATTGGGGAGGACTCTACAGAGGAGGAAGCAGGAGTCTGAGAGGATTTGAGAAGTGGTGGGGATTCTTCAGAGGAGAAGCAGGAGTTGGGGAGGATTTGGGAATTAGAGAGGTTTCTAAAGCGGAAAAAGCAGGAGTTGGGGAGCATTTGGGAGTTGAAGAGGATTCGACAAAAGGAAAAAGCCGGAATTGGAGAGGATTTTGGCATAGGGGAGGAGTCTACACAGGAAAAGGAGGAGTTGGGGAGGATTTGGGAAGTGGCGATGATTCTACAGATGGAAAATGCAGGAGTTGGGGAGGATCTGGGAATTGGGGGGATTCTACATAGCTAAAAGAAACGAGTCTGGGAACTGGGGAGGATTCCACAAAGGAAAAAGCAGGAGTTTGGGAGGATTCGGGAATTGAAGCGGATGGTACAGAGGAGAAAGCAGGATTTGGGGAGGATCTGGGAATTGGGGAGGACTCTGCAGAGGAACATAGTCCCCGCAGTCAACCCGCATAGTAAGGATGAGCATATTTCCGAGGCGGCCCTTGCATCCTTCCCCTTCGGCCCCTCCTTGGCCACCTTTGCTGGCCGCGCCCGCTCGCAAGGTGTCGGCATGGCCCTTTTGGAGCCTCTTGGGGCCTCTTGGGGCCCTCTTGGGGCCTCTTGGGGCCCTCTTGGAGACTTCTTGAGGCACTCTTGGTGCCGTCTTGCGGCCCTTCTCGTTGCAGCAACCGTAAACACCACTTTCGGAAAGCGTTTTTTACTTAACATCGAAGACTGATAGGTTTCTAATGGTGTAAAAAGAGAGCAGCACATTACTCCACAGGGGGGTCTGGGCAGCCGTTGGGGAGCCGTTGGGGGCCGTTGGGGGGCCGTTGGGGTTTGCCGGGGGGGATCGTTTTTCGCATACAGTCACACACTTCGTGCTTTTCGATTTCCCAGAACTCCATTCCCGGGCCACATTCTGAATGCCCGGAGCCAACTGTAGGCCACTTCGTGCTCTTCGACTTCCCAGAACTCCATTCCCGGGCCACATTTTGGATGCCCGGAGCCAACTGTAGGCCACTTCGTGCTCTTCGAGTTCCCAGAACTCCATTCCCGGGCCACATTTTGAATGCCCGGAGCCAACTGTAGGCCACTTCGTGCTCTTCGAGTTCCCAGAACTCCATTCCCGGGCCACATTTTGAATGCCCGGAGCCAACTGTAGGCCACTTCGTGCTCTTCGAGTTCCCAGAACTCCATTCCTGGGCATGATTTTGAATGCCCGGAGCCAACTGTAGGCCACTTCGTGCTCTTCGAGTTCCCAGAACTCCATTCCCGGGCCACATTTTGAATGCCCGGAGCCAACTGTAGGCCACTTCGTGCTCTTCGAGTTCCCAGAACTCCATTCCTGGGCATGATTTTGAATGCCCGGAGCCAACTGTAGGCCACTTCGTGTTCTTCTAGTTCCCAGAACTCCATTCCTGGGCCACATTTTGAATGCTGAGGCAGGCTGATGCTGCGGCCGAGGCAGGCTGAGGCTGAGGCAGGCTGAGGCTGAGGCCGAGGCTGAAGGCAGACTGAGGCTGAGGCTGAAGCAGGCTGAGGCTGAGGCTGAGGCAGGCTGAGGCTGAGGCTGAGGCAGGCTGATGCTGAGGCAGGCTGAGGCTGAGGCTGAGGCTGATGCAGGCTGAGGCTGAGGCAGGCTGAGGCTGAGGCTGAGGCCAAGGCTCAAGGCAGACTGAGGCTTTGGCTGAAGCAGGCTGAGGCTGAGGCTGAGGCTGAGGCTGAGGCAGGCTGAGGCTGAGGCTGAGGCAGGCTGATGCTGAGGCAGGCTGAGGCTGAGGCTGAGGCTGATGCAGGCTGAGGCTGAGGCAGGCTGAGGCCGAGGCTGAAGGCAGCTGAGGCTGCAGGCTGAGGCTGAGGCTGAGGCAGGCTGAGGCTGCAGGCTGAGGCTGAGGCTGAGGCTGAGGCTGAGGCTGAGGCTGAGGCAGGCTGGCTGAGGCAGGCTGAGGCTGAGGCTGAGGCTGAGGCTGATGCTGCAGGCTGAGGCTGAGGCAGGCTGAGGCTGAGGCTGAGGCTGAGCAGGCTGAGGCTGCAGGCTGAGGCTGAGGCTGAGGCAGGCTGATGCTGAGGCAGGCTGAGGCTGAGGCTGAGGCTGATGCAGGCTGAGGCTGAGGCAGGCTGAGGCTGAGGCCGAGGCTGAAGGCAGACTGAGGCTGAGGCTGAAGCAGGCTGAGGCTGAGGCTGAGGCAGGCTGGCTGAGGCTGCAGGCTGATGCTGATGCAGGCTGAGGCTGAGGCTGAGGCTGAAGGCTGAGGCTGAGGCTGATGCTGAGGCTGAGGCTGCGGCAGGCTGAGGCTGAGGCGGAGGCTGAAGGCAGACTGAGGCTGAGGCTGAAGCAGGCTGAGGCTGAGGCTGAGGCAGGCTGAGGCTGAGGCTGAGGCAGGCTGAGGCTGAGGCAGGCTGAGGCTGAGGCCGAGGCTGAAGGCAGACTGAGGCTGAGGCTGAAGCAGGCTGAGGCTGAGGCTGAGGCAGGCTGAGGCTGAGGCTGAGGCAGGCTGATGCTGAGGCAGGCTGAGGCTGAGGCTGAGGCTGATGCAGGCTGAGGCTGAGGCAGGCTGAGGCTGAGGCCGAGGCTGAAGGCAGACTGAGGCTGAGGCTGAAGCA